TTCACAGCCCATCTCCCCACTATTATACTTATTTCTACAACTTTGGATTATTAGCTCGCACTTTTTTAAATTTTTTTATTACAGCCGCTCGCCGCTTCCCTTACTTCCTCTATTATTCCCTCTTCTCCCCAAAACCCTCTCTTGAAACCCTAACTCCAAAAATGACGGATCGATCAAAGCTCGTAGGCGGCCAAGCTTAGAGATCAATCAAGAAATTGAGGAGATCGGAAACAACCTGTGAGATCGATGAAGAAATAGAGGGGTTTGAACAGCAGTAGACACGTCGTCGCTGTTGTCGTCGATCGAAGCAGCCGTTGACAGTAGCAGAGTCGTCGTCGCCGTCGTCGGTGATCTCAACTCCCAGCAGCCGTCGTCGTGGCTCTGATACCAGTGATCGAGCACAGAGAAGAGGAAAGGACAACTGATATTTTTGAGGGGGGCTCCGGTAATGGGTAAGGGGCTTGATTCTTCCTTTTTCGTTGTGTTTCTGCAAGTAGATTCTACTACTATTTATAGGCTAAAAATCTCATCATCTCCACCCCTCTCAAACTGTCTCTGAGAGATTTTCTCTCAACAAACCTCATATCCAACGTTTCTCTCCACTTGAGAAACATTGATTTAGTCATACAATACCAAGCCAGACTAACAGTTGTTTCAAATGCTGAGAGATCATCAAAATTAGTTATACAATGGGAGATTTATCAAAGCTCATGTAAGATATAAAGTAACAACATACAAAAGAACAACCTCAGCATAGTTTTTTGGGATGTACAATATTTAACTGAGTTCCACAAATTGAGGAAATATTCATTGCCAAGGACAGGTTTATGAAATGTGCTTTCGTAACTTACAACTTATCCTCTTACCTTCTATCAATCAGACACCACATCCAATAACTAGTCCCTTGTACCTTAGGCCATTTTCCTCTCCACTTAATTCGAACAAATTATGTGGTATTAATCTTATTTTTATGCAGCACTTAACTCAAAATTTTCATCATTCATTGCCAAACACGCATATATCGTTTTGTGTAAGCAGTGCCTCAGCTCTATTTGCTTATACACCAAGTTATCAAGGAACCTGCCTTTGGGATAGAACTTATAAGGCTTAGATAAAACCCTAGTTTCATGACCAACCTCAGTTTAATTCGTTTATCTTTAATAAAAATTAATTTAGGAAGTTAAAATGTTATATGAACTCCATACAGGTATTAAAATGTTATATCAACTCCACACAGGTTTTGGCAAGAAGTATATAATAAGGTTACCTCCCAATTATTGAATCGATCATACTTGGGGCGAAACGATAAATCAAAATTATACCAAAATCTAAACTACCCATTTCAATTCACCCAAAATCACCGAATGGGTATCTCCCAAAAGATCAAAAAAGCCTACAAAAATTACAAAAAAAAGGAAAAAACAAAGGTGAAATTTTGGGCCAAACCTTTCCAAGATAATGAAGGAATCTCTCAACACAGAGAGAGATGACGACGATGACAGCGCAAACGCCGGCGACGACCCACGTCGGAGTGAACTCCAGATTCTCTGAAGAAGCGCCTTCAGAGGCCATTGAATCCACATTGGAGGTTGAAGAGGAAGAGAAGCCATTAGAAATAAGAGGAGGAGGAGGAGATGAGTAATTTTTGGAGAGAAGGAAGGAATAAAGGAATTTGAGGGAAGAGTGGAGGCGATGCAAGCTTTCAACACGGTAGAAGCAGTAGTTCCTTTTGCGTGCTAGTGAGAAGAAAGCATCGCCTCTTCTACTTGAAATCCTATTAGGAAAGAATGTTTTTTTTTAATGGATTCGTATCTGATCTATAAAAAATTTAAGAATAATTTTATGTTGTTTGTAGAATCCTATTTTTTTTGTTTTTCTATATTTGTTTTATAACATTAAAATATAGAATCTAACTTTATAGAAACCCTCCAATTTTTATTCTTTAGTTTTGTTCGAAATGAGAAAATATAGAATCATTTCTATGTTTGGTTTTTATAGATTCCGAAAAACAAAGAGAAAGGAAAATGAAGTGGGTGGTGTCAACTTTTTCACCCAATTCCACCTAAACTCATTGGATTTTTGTTTCCATAAAAACCCCCCTCTTTTCCAACTTTATAGATTTTGAAATCTATAAAATTGTTATGAACCAAACTTAGAAATGAGATACATTTAGAATCATTTATTTATAGTTTTGCCCCTATCACATCCAATTCCTATTCCTTATTCTATAAAAAGAGTGAAACAAACACCCCCTAAAATAGAGGAAATGAAAAAAAATTAACATGGATGTCTAACAAA